GTAAAACTTTAACGAGCTGCTGCGCTTCGGAGTTGTGCATTTTATACACCTCACACTTGTGTTTTCTCAAATAGCAAAAGAAAAGGCTTTCACTAGTAAGCCTGATCCCTACTTTGAATAAACTACAAGGCGAAAACATTACAACTTCAACCCTTTGACTAAGTTTCTTAACACGTCATTAAAGGATCCTCGGTTTATTCATTCATGCCTACTTAGCAAATCTTCGTAGGTGCCCACCACCCACGTTGCCAGATAACCACCGGTTCCGGGGGTGGACTTGCTCACACTCAGGCTCTGTTCTCAGGACCTTCACGGAAACTGTGACTGAACAGCGGGGGAAGCTGAGAGCTTGGAATGGGAGGGGTGGTCCCAAACTTGCTGCAAAGGGCTGCCTGAGCCAGCCTTGGAGGGAGGGGCTGTGGCCAGGGAAGTGTGAGGGCAGCCCAGAGGGAGACAGGCAGCCTGAGAGGTGGGCAGGGCCGGATCACAGGGCCCTTGAGTCTGGCCTCAGCCATTGCAGGCACTAGGTCAGATTTGGGTTTCTTTTAAGCAGGAGAGCTTCTGAGTCAGATGAAAGCCTTCCGTGGCCCACTGTGTTTTCATCTCACTGGGGTCGGAAGGGGAGGCGAGGCTAGCGGCAGGGAGACCAGGGGACTGGGTAACTGTTTAATTGCTGAGCGGAGGGGTGTTGGGACTTGGAACCCGCAGTGTTTGCACCCGTCGTTTGCCACCAGGATTTTCACAGACCTGTACAGTAGGGGGCGCTGTGGCCCAGGCTGGCTGTGGTGCCAGAACCCGCTGTCTTTGGGGCTGAGGACAAAGCAACAGAGGACATTTAGTCTGGATGAAGGAAGGCTCAGAGGGATGCAAGAACAGTGAGTCTTCAGACATCTGAAGTCCCTCTGGTGGGGTCCCATCACCACCCCCTCCCTGCCCACCCCCTCTGTGTTGCCATAGGTGCTGGAGGTGGAGATCAAAGGGGCACCTGTGAAGGAGAAAGTGCTTTCCTCCAAACAAGCCGCCAGCCCCAGGTAGAGAAGGTTCTGTGGGCCACTTCCTGTGGGGATGTATCCTGGGAAACAGAGCAGGGCAAAGGTCTTGGCTTGGCGTCAGACCGCTCGGATCAAATCTCGGCTTCACTGTATCCCAGCTGGTCAGTCCCATACAAAGTTTTATTCTGTTTTCTTTTTCTCACCTTCAGGAGAGAATGGTAGTAAACTCCTTTCTCATAAGGTTCTCAGAGGATTCAGTGAGATGATTTGTGTAAAATAGTACAGCCCCTGGTAAATATCAGTAAGTGTTAGGTTTTATTACTTTATTATTGTTAATAGTATCCCACAGCTTCCTGGGTGATTCTGATGCATGGCCTGGTTGGGATACCTTAATGAACCTTGAGCTTCCTTCCATTCTGGTGATCAAGGATGGAAAAAGAAAAAGTCAAGAGGCTGGCAGAAGACTGGTGTTAAACCTACAAAATCCCTACATTCCAGAATAAATGACTGACCGCGAGTAAGAGGGTCTGTTTCGTGCATTTATCGTGATGAGTGTTTTGTTTTTAAATTCAATTTTTACTTATATTGTAGTGAAGATCACAAAAATATTAAAAGTATTTTTTTAAAGATTTTATTTATTTATTGGACAGACAGAGATCACAAGTAGGCAGAGAGGCAGGCAGAGAGAGGAGGAAGCAGGCTCCCTGCTGAGCAGAGAGCCCGATGTGGGGCTCGATCCCAGGACCCTGGGATCATAACCTGAGCCGAAGGCAGAGGCTTTAACCCACTGAGCCACCCAGGCGCCCCTATTAAAAGTATTTTTAAAATATTTTTTACTATTAAGAATTTACTTGTAACTTTTTAAAAATATTCATCTCTTTGGTTGAAGAATATGGCATGGAAAATCTACAAATTTTTTTTTTAAGATTTTTTTTTTTTTAATTCATTTGACAGAGATCACAAGTAGGCAGAGAGGCAGGCAGAGAGAGAGGCAGAGAGAGCCAGGAAGCTCCCGGCTGAGCAGAGAGCCCAATGTGGGGCTCCATCCCAGGACCCTGGGATCATGACCTTAGCCGAAGGCCAAGGCTTTAACCCACTGAGCCACCCAGGTGCCCCGAAAATCTGCAAATTAAAGAGCTAGACTGAGGTAACCATTTAAAGCAGATTGTTTGGGTGTCCCAAAAAAGATGGGAGATTACTGGCCCTTTGTAAGTGTTAGGACAGGAATAGGTATGGGCTTGGAGAGACTGAAGGGAATTACGGCATATTATAAAATACAAGTACAGAAATTAAGACCCAGTCCAAGTCTTGTGCGTTCATAAACTAACTTTTACCAGCCTAGGCCATCTTGTTGGGTGAACCAGGCCACCTGAAGGAAACCAAGGGTGGAGAAGCCCACGAACAGTGGCAGGAGATTTGCAGCCTTGGAGAGTCCCCAAATTTGAGAGTTGCCCATGAGTGGGAGCTCTAAGGAGGGCCCTGAGGTCTGTGCCAGAGAACCCTAAGCTCTCTGGAACTCAAGCAGCTCTGGCTCCAGGGAGGAGCTCCAAAGCCGCTTCTCCTAGCTGCAAGGAGAGTCTGGGCCTCCCCAGACTGTCTGGGAAGAAACACACTCCAACATGCTGCAGCCAGTTAGGCACCAGGCCAGGGTGGAAGTAGAGTCCCCTGGGTATAATGTGGTTTCCCTCCTGCAGAGAAAAGGAGATTCTTTGTAAGTGCTAGGCCCAGCGTGTAAGAGAGAAGGGACAAGAACAGGAGGGAAGAGGAGAAGAGAAAACCAACAGCAGGAGGAATTTGGAGGTACAGGGCGGTCCATGGGTACACTGAAGGCTTGCAGTCCCTAAGCCCAGGGCTCGCTCATTTCCTTTCCTTGGTAATCTCCACCCACAGAGGGCCCCACAGTATTGCCGTGATGCCACAAGAGCCCCTTCCTGTGTGGTCTTATCACCTCATCCAGACCCTGGGAGCAGCAGGAAGGTGGGGCATCAGGAGGCTGTGCATCTAGAGCTTATTAGCCCTTGTGAATCCTCCAGCCCATGGCAGCTCAGTAAGGGCCGCCCCGGGCTCTGCAGTACGGTCAGCTGGCTCCCAGAGGCTGAGCCCGGCGTCTCCGCTGCCTTTCCCCCGGACACAGGGCGCTGTGCTCAGCCTAAGCCCAAGCCATGGGCGTGCGTGGGCACACACACACATACACACACACACAGACACTCACCCACCTACTGTGACCCTAACTCCACTCACCATGCTTTTCCCCAGGCATCACAGCGTTCCTCTCACTGTATGTGTGGCCTTTGTACTTGTCAGTTTACAGAAGCAGCTTGAGGGGTGGCCACACAGACCTTAGACACGTTTTCCTAAAATCTGCCCTTGATCTTATCTCCCTTGGAAGCTTACCCCCTCCCCTCCCCTCCCCTCAGTCTGGCCTACAGGCTAAAGTCCTCATACCTCTCCTTTCCCGCAGAGGTGGGCCTTCACCCAGCCAGCACTCACTCATCCTTGGAGAGCAGCTCAGATGTTGCTGGGGTGGGTTTGCTGTCCCTCCCATGGGCCCGCCCGGATCTCAGCACTTCTCACTTCATCGTGAGTCATCACAGTCTTGTCTGCTGAGATCCTCGGAAAAAACTTGCTGTCCAGCAAAACCTTTTTTTTTTTTAAGATTTTATTTATTTATTTGAGAAGGAGATCACAAGTAGGCAGAGAGGCAGGCAGAGAGAGAGAGAAGGAAGCAGGCTCCCCACTGAGCAGAGAGCCCGACATGGGGCTCGATCTCAGGACCCTGAGACCAGGACCCGAGCTGAAGGCAGAGGCTTTAACCCACTGAGCCACCCAGTCGTTCCTCCAGCAAAACCTTCTTAGACCTGCAGCAAGGGAGAACCCCAACTTGCCAGAATCCCCATAGCATCTGAAAATGAAGAAATCACGGAAGGGTACTTGGAGGGTTTGGGGGTCCAGGCTGAGTGATTTTTAAGGTGGGTGTCTTGAGGCAGGAAACTGGCTACAACATTACTAGCTTTGAATCAGGGAGCCCCACAAGATGAAGGTCTTGAAGTGAGTCTGGATGAGCAAGCTGTTTGTCTTGGTAAATAAGTTGTTTTGTTGGTTCACAGTCTTATCTTGCAGCTGCAGGCGTGTCCTGAAGCAAGCCGCTAGATTGTTTCCACGTGTTCTCAGTATTGCCTCACAGAACACCAGGAGAGTGTGCCTGGGCTCGGAATTGTTCAACACAGGGGCAGGGAATTTGGTTGGTGTCAGGTCTTACTGCCAGTTCTGTTCAACTGTGCTCCGGGAGAGCGGAGAGCTGGGACCAAGACACAGTCTTCGTGCAAACCCTAATTAATGCCTACTAGCAGGGCAGCTGAATGTCGTCAGCACCCAGCAGAGGCTTGTTGAGTCTGTGAGGACATGCTTGTGGCCCTCTTGGGGGGGCCCTAGGACCATCTAGGCCCTGCTCTAGGGAGAAGCAGCCACAGGGGCACGTGTCTCACAAAATGCTGCCTGGTGGGGTGCAGTGCTCCTCACTGCTACCAGGTGAGGGTTTGTGAGGGCTGGGGGTGGGGGGATGGTCCCAGGCCCCAGCCCAGGTGCAATATTAGCAGGCAGCCCCATGGCTGGGGAGCACGTTAAGATCTGAGAAGCACTTGAGGTGTCTGGCCTGCTCATGGGGGTTGCGCCAGTTCTATTCCCCCAGACGTTCACAGAGCACTCCCTCCACGACCCCGGGCCATCACAGAGCTCTGTGGATATGGCACGGAGGCCCTGCTCGACTTTGTGCCCCTGGAGACAGGCACATAAACACACATCACGAGGACAGTGAGCATGTCGCAAAGAGACTTTGTTTTTGTAGGACAGGAGAAATACTTCTGTGCTTGAATCCAGGTATAGCAAGGCATGTGTCCGTGTGTGTGTTCCAAGAGCCTCCTTCTCCCCGGTCAGCTTTCAGCATCCGAGTGACTTTCCCCCAGCGCAGATCCTGATACCAATGTTCTTCCCGTCCTTCTCTGGGGACAGATCCTGACAGCGAGCGGCGACGGGACGTGTGCACTGTGGGACGTGGAGAGCGGGCAGCTGCTGCAGAGTTTCCACGGACACGGGGCTGATGTGCTCTGCTTGGACCTGGCCCCCTCAGAAACGGGCAACACCTTCGTGTCTGGGGTAAAGGCCCAAGCAAAATCCCTCGGGGTCCTTCCTCTCCTTGGGAGGGTGATGGTGGCAATTCTTGTCATTTCTAGGGAGTTGACCGGACATTTCTCTGGGAGGAATTGTCCTCAGCTCGCTGTCGCATCCCCTGCTCCCACAGCAAGGGCAGCATGTGGTGGGCGGTTATGGTGAGGGGCTGTGAGGGTCTCCTGTTCTGCGGCTGACATTCAGTCTGCAGAGGTATCTGGAATGTTCTCCACATGTGAATGCTGTGACTTGAGGTGCGTATCTGCTGCATTTGAACATGTTTAGGGTATTTTTTAGATTTTATTTATCTATTTGAGAGAGAGAGAGCGAGCAGGAGAAAGTGGAGGGTCAGAGAAAAGAGGAGAGTCTTCTTCAATGCGGGACTCAACCCAGGGACTCCAGGATCATGTCGGGAGCCAAAGGCAGTCGCTCAACGAACTGAGCCACTCAGGTGCCCTGAAATAAACAGCAGAGTTAGCAGCTGAGAGCATTGGAGATGAGCCATAAGGGTACCAAGCTGGTCAGATGGCTGCTGAGGTGAGGCAGCATTGTGGTGTGATCAGGGCTTGGGGCTCATGAGACACTCTCCTGCCCCAGCCCTGCGCATCACCAGCACCCTCCCACCCCAGCACACAGGGAACAGAGCATCTGAAGGCTCGGGGTCAGACACAAGCCCACGGTGGCACACAGGAGCACTAGACTAGGATGCTGGGGTCACGGCTTTGCTCTCTGACTCCATTTCCTCGTCTGTAAATTGGGCATGATGCAGACCAGTACTCCACTGCCCCGGGATATACTGTGGAATATATTAGGTGGAGGAGCCAACAGCAGGTCAGACAGACGTCAGGGCAAGTGTTTCTGTGGATGGCCAGGAATAAGAGTGGGGAACTGAGCCAGCTGACCTGGCTTGAGTCCTGTCTCACTTTAGTCAGGAGAGGGGGGAGAGGAGGCACTGGACACACCATCACGTGTCCTTTGCAGCTGGAGGACGCAGGGGCCCTTGGCTCCGAGCTGCCGGCGTCTTGGTGCTGGGCATTAGGCAGGGACTGTGTGGCCTGTAATCAGCAGGAACCCCAGTTTCTTTTTGGGTATTTGGCCCCACCTGTGTATGTTTCATTTCTGGGCCTTCGAATAACTGTATCTGGGCCTCCTCAACTGCACTGCCTTTTCAAGTAGTTGATAGCACTGTAGATCATACTGTCTCCTTCAGAGCACTAAACTCCGTTTGACTTAGTATCCTCAGAAGATGAGAAGACGCTCCCGCTTGCTTTGTCTGCGTTCTCATTAAAGATGATTGGAGCGCTGAACCCCCACTGTGGGGCTTCTGAGGTACTAGTTGTGGTGCTTCATCCCTCTCTTCTCTCTGAGGTTGAAACCGGCAACTTGAACACCAGTTTTAAGCCATTACGTCTTCTATTTGACTATTAAGAGTCCACATTGTCCTACCCAAGTTCCATAACAGCATTGCTCAGCAAGAATGTGTCAAATGCTCCTGGAGCCAGGACAGTATAATGTGAAAACCTCATGTTTAGGATCTCCTGGGCCACGTTTACAGGTGGCGAGATGGAAGCCCAGGACAGCGACTTGCTGGAGACCCACATCTTGCTGCTGGCAAGGTCATGACCCCCAGCCAGCGTGCTGCAGAGGCGTAGATGACCCAGCGGCTCCTGGGGCGCTCCCTTTGCCTCCGGCTGTCCTGTACACCTGAGACAGCGGGGTGGCCCCACTGTGCACCTAGTGTGTGCCTGCCCTTCCCCCCTGGGCTTAGGGAGGCAGAGATGAAGAGGAGGGAGGAAGTAAGGACAGAACAAAGAGAGAAATGCCCAGGGGGAAGCAAGGAGGCTCTGGAGGGTTTGCACCCACACTTGGAAAGGTACAAAAGAAGAAAACACGCTAAAGGGGACAGCTGGGTGCCTTCTCTTGCTCCCCACACCCCAAGACAATCTCATCTTCTCAGGGCTTATTGGTTGAAGAAAGCAGCCTTAGGTGATGCTAGTCTCAGAAAAGCATGTTGAGCCATTTACCCATGGGAGGTAAACGGCTGTTACGTAACGAGAGCTCATGCCCGACTGCAGACCGGCCTTGCAGTGACCATAACTCTGGGTAACTTTGCATTTGTAGGGATGTGACAAGAAAGCCATGGTGTGGGACATGCGCTCCGGCCAGTGCGTGCAGGCCTTTGAAACACACGAATCTGACATCAACAGTGTCCGGTCAGTGAGTAGAATGTTCACGTAACTTCCCTGTTCTGCTGGCAATCCCTGGCGTGGGGTAATAATGCTCAGCCCAGGAACCACCTCCAGGCTCATTTGACTTGGCTGAGACAGGTCCCCCCAGCAAGAAAGGCTGATTTGTGGTAACCCTGAACAGCGCTGCAGATCTCTTGGAGATATTTAATTCAGTGGCACTTAGAGTAATTGTTATTATCCTCCCTAAGCAGAGTCAGTATTTCTCATTCATTTATTCAGCAAATATTTATTGAGACTTATATGCTAGACATTGTTCCAGGAACTTTGTGAACAAGATAGACAAGGTCTCTACTTTCTTGCAGGAGATATGACAAAGCACAAACAAATAAATGTATAATTTAATTTAAGATGGTGCTATGTGCAAAGTTAAATAGGCAGATGGGATGGGGTGGGTTATTGCTTAGGATGGCCAGGGAAGTCCTCTCTGAGAAAACGATGTTTGAAAGAGCCAGGCTTGCAGAGAGCTGGGTTAAGATGAGATGTGGAGGGACCTAACCAAATGCCAGTTTGGGGGGTGGTTGACATGGTCTGTGTTTTGCCCTTGAGAGATCACTCTGGCTGCTGTTTGGAGAACAGATTGTGGGGAAGCAAAAATGGAAGTATGATGGCCAATTAGAAAGTTGCATGAGTCCAAGGAAAAGGTGACAGTGGCTGGAACTAAAGACAGTGTGGAGACAGAAATGTCCAGAATTGTGAGGATTCTGAGATTTTACCCTAGCTACAAGCTATCAAGTTAGACTGCCACAGTTTCATAGCTGCTGGTAGAAGACACGAGACTCCTGGGTTCAAGATGAAGGACAGTTTATTACTCCTAGCAATGGCAGCAGCCAGAGTATCAGCATTTTTGTGCTGGTTGCCTGAGCCCCAATTCCACAGGGTGAAATGGAGAGGTTCCATTACAGAAGAAGAATCCTGAGCTTGGGAACCCAAAGCTTCTATAAGGGGCAGTAAGCAGGGATCCATTTACTAAGACAGAGAAAGCTGGAGGAATCAGAGGTAGGAGGCAGTTGTCGCACACGCATTACAGAGCTCTGTTTTGGGATAGTTACATTTGAGATGCGTATTATATACACAAGTAGAAATGTTGAGTACGTAGCAGGATCTATGAACTGGTTCCCAAGAGAGAGGCAAGGACTTGACATGTAAATTTGGAAAATGGCATCGTTAAGACAGTATTTGAAATATAATCATCGAAGAATCTTCACTATACTTAGTGGGAAAGACAGTAGACCTGTTCCCCTTAAAAGGAAGAAAACGGTAGCAGTGCTTATTTACATGAGCAGTAGAAATGTTAGTAAGAATTTCTAGGTCCTTGCCCTCACTTGTAGGATAGTGAAAAAGGAAAAAGACTGTAGCTTTTTTTTTTTTATACTTTTTTTTTTTTTAAGATTTTATTTATTTATTTTGTCAGAGAGAGGGAGAGAGAGCGAGCACAGGCAGACAGAATGGCAGGCAGAGGCAGAGGGAGAAGCAGGCTCCCTGATGAGCAAGGAGCCCAATGTGGGACTCGATCCCAGGACGCCGGGATCATGACCTGAGCCGAAGGCAGCCGCTTAACCAACTGAGCCACCCAGGCGTCCCAAGACTGTAGCTTTTGACAAATGTGCAATAATTACCTTGAAAAATCAAAGGAAATTGATACAGATATTAAGTGAAGTTGGTAAGATGCTGGATGGGATATAAAGCCACAAAAATAAATTAAACCTCTATATACTCACTCCTTAAAATGCACATTCTCTCACCTGTGCTGTTCCCCTTACCCTGATCCCTCTTCCTCCAACAACCGTTAGGTCTCAGTGTAGACTCCTCTCTCCCTCTGAAGCCTGATAACCGAGAAGAGAATGAACGTAACAGTAATAAGTATCATTTGCTGAATGCTTTCCATCTGGCCATGCCAAGTTCTTTGCCCATATTATCTTATTCAGTCTTTACAAAAGGGAAGATGCATTATCATCCTCACTTTTCAAATAAGGAAACTGAGGCTGGACAAGGTGAAGTCCTTTGCCAGAAGTATCACATGGAGGCAGTGGTCCATGCAGAGATCTGCATGAGGCTTTGTCTTTGCAATCCCAGTGTCTTACGCAGATAATCACTTCTTATCCCAGAGCTGAGCCAAGTCCCAGATCAGTGGAAACTATGGTTACAGGCAGCCTGCTCTGTGTTCAGTGCCTGGTGCAAATACACACATTATCTCAGTTACTCCTCACCAAAACTCTGCAAAGCCATTGTCACTGTCCCCTACTTAAGGAAAGAAAACTAGAGGCCAGTGGGCCAGCCAGATCAGCCTCCCCTTCTGACCTCTATAATGAGTGGTTCTTATGTCGCAGTGGAGATGCCAACTCTGATTCCACAGGCTCAGCATGGGACTACTTTCCCAGTGATTTCCAGATGATTCTGACGGGCATCCAGGATTGAGAATCACCACCCCAAATGGAGTGCTTTCTATCCAAACTGTCTCTCTGCAGGTACTACCCAAGTGGAGATGCCTTTGCTTCAGGATCAGATGATGCTACGGTATGCTTCTAAATTATGAGAACTTTTCCTATTTGAAAGAGAAATGCAGTGATTTAATTTTATTTTTCAAAATTAATGTTTTTCTGATTACCATAATAAAGTGAATTCATTGAGGAAAACTTGGGTAGGGGATTAAATATCTTAATCTCCCAACCCAAGTAAAGTCACAGCTGGGTGAATTCCTCTCTTTTTTATTTTAAAACAAAATGCTTTATAATTTGTTTTCACTTAGCAATAGACTGTAAACATTTTCCCATGCCAATGTAGCCAATCTACATTATATTTTCTTAGCAATTGAATAGTATTCCATGTTATAGATGGGCTAGTATGTACTTAACTAGTTAATTTTTGAAAGTTTAGATTCAGGGTTTTTTTCCTGTTAAGAAATACTGCTATAAGTAAATATTTTTGGTACTTATTATTTCTCCCATGTGTTATTATTTCTCCCATGCCCTATATGTTCCTTTTCCTATACCTCCCCAGGCAGCCTGGGGAAAGTGGTTGGTTCAGGGTTTGCCAGAGAGAAGACAAATAAATACCAAATTAATAAGATCTTTTTGAAAAATGAAAATGTAAAACTTCCATCTGCCAAAGAACATATAACAAAATATAAGAGCATACATCTATGAAAAGTTCTTGCCATCTATATGACAGACCAAATTGAAATCCTTTAGATATGAATGAGGTTGCATCATCACTAAGATACACACCCCAATTTTTTGAAAGAGTTTGATAAAATCTAGACTGTTTACAAAGTAGGAAATCCAAAATGGCAAATAAACTCCTGAAAACATTTTCAGACCACCTGTAATCCAATAACTGCAAGCTTAAGGGATCCATGCTCATTTGTATTAGACGTGAAATGCTACATTGTGGACATGATGTGGTTAAAGAGTTAGGCCTCTTGGTCCATCCTTCTGAAAAACAGTCTGGCCATATGATCCAAGAGCTTTCAAAATATACCTCCCCTTTGATCTGGTCATACTATTTCTTTTTTTTTTTTTTAAAGATTTTATTTATTTATTTGACAGACAGAGATCACAAGTAGGCAGAGAATCAGGCAGGGGGAGCGGGGGGAGCAGGCTTCCCACTGAGCAGAGATCCCAATGCAGGGCTGGATCCCAGGACCCTGAGATCATGACCTGAGCCGAAGGCAGAGTCTTTAACCCACTGAGCCACCCAGGTTCCCCCAGTCATACTGTTTCTTACAACAATTTTATTCTGAGGGATTCTGTTCCTTAACTATTCTGAAGAAAACATCAGAGATATGTAAGAACAGTCATCAAAATTTATGTAAGAAGTCATCAAAATTTTATTTGTAAAGGAGAAAAATTAGACACAAGCAAAACTCTTAAGAGGGTATGGCTAAACAGATTTAATATATCTGCATATGGAATATTCAACAACCATGGTAGTCATGTGTTTCTGAGGATTATTTAATGCTCATAACCTGATGTTAATAGAAGTCTTCGTGAAATATCCACTGCATGTAAAGACAAACATAAAATGGAAGTAAAACTGAAGGAAATAGCCTAGATGTTAGTCAGTACTAGGATTTAGGGTGATTTTTGTTTCCTTCTTTGGGCATTTCTGAGTTTTTCTGTATTTTCTACAATGAATGTGTATCCTTTCTCAGAAGAGAAAGAGGGGTTTCATTTTTGTTTTTGTATCCCCCCAAAATCTTCTGTATTTGCTGTTTCTTTGAATCTCCACTGATATGTTTAGAGTACTAGGAGTTGGGATGAAGGGAGAAAATACTAGGGGAGAAAACTCGAGGTATTTCCCTCATCCCCCAAACTTCACAAGCCAGCAGCTCCTGCCAATAGCCCCGTGCTCCTCTCTTCCCCAACCCGGAGCCAGAAATAAGTGCTTCTTGGGACGCCTGGGTGGCTCAGTGAGTTAAGCCTCTGCCTTTGCCTCGGGTCATGATCTCAGGGTCCTGGGATCCAGCCCCGCATCGGGCTCTCTGCTCAGTGGGAAGCCTGCTTCCCCCTCTCTCTGTGCCTTCCTCTCTGCCTACTTGTGATGTCTGTCAAATAAATTAATTAAAGAAAAAAAAAGAAGAAGAAATAAGTGCTTCTTGGTCTTCTTTGTCACCCCAGTGTCGCCTCTACGACCTCCGGGCGGACAGGGAAGTCGCCGTCTACTCCAAAGACAGTATCATATTTGGAGCATCCAGTGTGGACTTCTCCCTCAGTGGTAAGATTTTCTTTCAGAAACTCTCCCTGGACTGTACGCCGGGACCTAAACGAAACCCAGCTCTTGATCAAGCTTTCCCTCAGCGGAACTCCCCATGAGCCAGCGGGTTAAGCAGTCTGTGTCTGCCCTGGTTTTCCTCCATGATCCCTTGCCCCACGTCACCCCACCCGAAGCAGCCTCCCCACCCCCTTCATTTTATGGGAAATGAAGGCCACGCCACCTACTGCTGTTCCTCAGTGATGCGCACAGCTTCACATCTGCGGGGCCCTTCACAGGCTTTCCTCCTCAGCCTGCTGGCCTCCCCTTCATCCCTGAAAAGGGACTTTTCCAGAGGAGGGGAGCAAGAGACCCTTTCTTAATGCCTAGAAGCTCATGGCCCCTCTGCCCTCACTGCTGGGGAGGCTGCTAGTAAAAGTTAAGACCGCTCTGACAGGACCAGTTTCCCCAGACACAGCCCCCCAGTCTAAATCTGTGCTTTTCTGCCTGCGTGCTGCTACCGCTGCCTACAGCATCTCTTGCCTCCCTTCTCTGCCTCAGCCTCCAAGAGCCAACTCCTATCAGTTTTGTGCAGTGCCCTCCTCGATCCTCCTTCCTCCATGATCTCAGAGCATTTTACACACAGCTAAGCACTTCCATTATCATCCCTCTTCCATGGGCTACCGTGTGTCCCTTCACGTATCTGCCTGCCTGCCCACCAGCACCCTCCTCAAGGGGCAGCGACTCGGCTCTCTTCTCTGAAGCCCCAGGGCAAAGCACAGTGTCTGGCACATAGGGGGCACTAAATCACAGTGGGCTGAATGAGTGAATGAATGAATGAGCAAGTGACTGCCGGTTATGTGAGTGAACGTCACAAAAAGAAAAATGGATGGGAAGAACGGGTTCGGTAACCATCCTGTCCTCCTGCTTTGAGGGCGCCTGCTGTTTGCTGGATACAATGATTATACCATCAATGTCTGGGATGTTCTGAAGGGGTCCCGAGTCTCCATCCTGTTCGGACATGAAAACCGCGTTAGTACTCTCCGAGTCTCCCCTGATGGGACTGCTTTCTGCTCAGGATCATGGGATCATACCCTAAGAGTAAGAGAAATTCTGTTATTTTACTCTGTGTGTGAGAGGAGTGATTGGCCTTCCTTAATGCAGAGGCTCAGAGTCAGCCTGGGTGACATCAGCCAGACAGAGCTCTAATTTCAGCTCTGTCCGTGGCCACAGACGGGGTGCGTTGCCCCAGAGAAGTCGTGAGTCCCCCGTCAGTGCAGGTATTGGAGCATAGGTTGAAACAACCATGTATCAGCATGTAATTGAGGTAATAATGGGGCCAGGTGATCCAAACAGCCCCCTTTGATCCTGAAAGTAGGATTCTGCTGACTCTAGGTTTTGGCAAACCACAGGGTGCCCGTCTCACTCCCAATAGTGGGACATTTCTATTCTGTGGTGACATACTTTTGTGAGACCCACAGAGGGGCTTTAGGGAACCCGTGAAGCCCCTGAAATTATAGGTCACTCACATGTCCTGGATCCATTTTTCTGGAGAAAGTGCCCTCATGGCTTTCATCAGATTCTCAAAGAGCTCAATGAACTTGTTGGCTGTTGGCTTCCCAGAAATACCTCCAAAATGTTCATAAAGCAAAGCTAAGTGTATTTCTTATCTCACTAGGGACAGAGCACAAACTTGACAGTCTCAGTGGCATCTCAGAAGGGGAAAACAGATGTTTATGAGGTTTGGGGAGGGGGTCTGATTTAACCAGTTGGAGGGATTGAATAGGCTTAGACAAATTTGTGGCACAGTAGTTTTCAGATTGCTTGGACACAGGGACGCCTGGGTGGCTCAGTTGGTTGAGTGACTGCCTTTGGCTCAGGCCATGATCCTGGAGTCCCAGGATCGAGTCCCACATCGGACTGCCTACTTGGCAGGGAGTCTGCCTCTCCCGCTCGCCTCTCTCCTTTCATGCTCTCTCTCTCTCTCAAATAAATAAAATCTTAAAAAAAAAAAAAAAAAAAAAAAAAGATTGCTGGACACATAGTTGGGGGAGGGAGAGGATTTTGAAGACAGTCTTGAAAAGTAACCATCATTTGTGATGCTCTGTGTATGCCTGAGAAGTGTCTTTTCTAAAGAGAGTAGTTGAGTGGTCTAATCTTGGGATAAACCAAAGATTTCTGTGAGGTTCTGAAATAAACAACAAAGTTATCTGTGAGCTCCTCTTCCAGGGCAAGAGTTTCCTGAATTAGTAAAGTCACGTGAATGACTCAAGGACGTGTGTGAGTACAGATGGTTTTGGTACTCAGCCTAAGTGTCCCCCGCAGATACCCCTTGGATGACTGAGCAGAGCCAGGGGAAGAGGCAGGGCCGAAGAGGCACCTTTGAGTAGCCAGGAGTAAGGTGTTACCATCCAAGAAATGTGTGCGCTTCATTTTGGGGTGTGTGTGTGAGATTGACCTTGATTTTATCTTTTTAAACTCAAGTTTCACAAGTCCTTAACTAAAGGGACTAACAATTATCTCTTTGTGGCTTTGCAGGTCTGGGCCTAATCGTCTCCTCACAATGCACACATAGGCACCTGAGGGTAGAATTTGAAACCGCCAAATGGAAATAGATCTTCTTCTAGAGGACCTGAGGGTTATTGCGATGTAGCTTAAAGGAGCCCAGACGATATTACTTTTAAAACGACCACCCCTGGAAAGATCTGGTGTGGGCCTTCAGCACTAGAACACCTTCAAGTCCAGTGTTTTGCATTTTGAACACTTTTTAAAATGTATCCATTTTTAAGGTTATTCTAATCATATGGTCTCCACGCTGTTCTATTACCACACGGATTCAGCATTTAATAAATCCCCTAGTACTTCCTTGAACCACATTTGTTTTCAGAGCACTCTAAAATCTGATTCTTCTCAGGGTGCCCTGTGCCTTTTGGAACTTTCCTCTAGAAGTGCTGACCTTAACGGACCGCACGAGGCAGACCGTGTTGAGGGGTCTGTGATAGAAGAAAATTCAAATTCTGAACGTAATCAGACACAATCCCTTTTGAAAATACGTTTTTATTGTAAAAGTCTCTTTTTCAGTCTCTCATTGTCTTTTTTCAGGTCAAATATTTCCCTCTGTGTGAACTGTCACAAATAGAGGAGAGATGCACATAGAGTGGACGGGATGTTTGCTTTAGGACTTCTGTGATGATGTGACGGCTCCCTTGGACGGGATATTTCCTGTCATTTGAGGGAAAAGCTGAATGCTGTTTGTGACACAAAGGCTCCTCAGAGCAAAACCTTTCTGTGTGGGAACAGACAGTAAACTTATTTAAAAACCTGCTCATAGTATTAGATGTATTAGAATTAGTAGTATCCACTCAGGATACTACAGGTGTCATAGTAGATCATATCCATATGAAGTATATTCATATTTATTGCATTGAAAATGTAATTACATGAATTAGTTGATAGGTCCCAGGCGATAATGTCTTTGCTTCTCTTCTATGGAGAAAAAAATAACACACAAACTACTTGTCTTTACTTGAAAATCAGCATTTCCTTCTGGAAGACATCAAGTGTTTTTGAGATCCCTTCTTTTCCTCGTCTTTAAGGCATTGAGGCTTATTCTTCATTTTAGAAAACTCCTTGTTCATTAAGATAGCATGCATTCCTTGGAGAAATAGCAGGTCAGCTCACACACTGGAAGTCTTACCTGGTTGAGGCCTGCCCTGTGGGTGTTCTGGGCTCCTGTGGTGCCCATAAACCCTGGATCATCCAGTCTCCTCTCTGGGCCCTGCTCCAGCCTGCCCCCACTCCTAGTCGTGGTTCTGGCCCTGTGGGCCCAGCTCCAGGCCCTGCTACTCAGAGAGACTGTTCAGAGCTGCCACAGGTCTGGTCAGCAGACAGGTCTGGACCTGGTTGGCCTGCAAACATCAGGACGTGTTCCCTGGCCCACCCTCAGAACGACTTGTGCAGGTATCCTAATGGGCAAGTCCCTCAAAAAAAACAAAAAAAACAGGCTAGCTTTTCCATCAGTTCTTTTAAGTAAATATGGTGATTAGATCCAGTCCAAGCAAACGTTTTACTGAGGGTTTTACTACACAGCACGCCCTGGGATAGAGAGAGAAATGTACAAGGCCCCTGCTTAACTCCAGAGAGCCCAGAGGGAAGGAGGAAGTTGGTCCAAATGGCCCATTTTTCAGCCACTCCTCTCCTCTTCCCCAGTGGATTCCAGGCTGGGCAGGGGCTCGAGGAAATGGGTAAAGGATCTCTCCAACTCCAGGCAGCTGCTGAAGGAATCAGGTCCCAGGGTGCCTCTCACGGGATTCCCCAGCTCCACTCCCAAGAGGTCCCAGAGTTTGCTCCCGGTCTTCCTCTCCCCTACAGACCCTTTAGTGTCTCTGCACTCTGATCTGGACCTTCCAGTAGTGAAGGAGGACAGGACAGAAGAAGTCACCAAGACTAAAGGGAAGCAAATTCAAGGTTAGATGTTTGGAGAGGCAGAAAGCATCTTCAGTGTATGTGCAAAAACGGTCCATAACTTTCCAATCAAAAAAGCTACGGGGGAAAAAAAAAAAACCTGTGAAGTATTCCCTAGAACACTCACTTATCCCCACGGGCAGTAAGCCACCTCCCCTGGAAGCATTTGATTTCACAGTGGGTGTTGTTTAGTATTTATCCATGAAACACTTGGTTTGTAATATGCCACACCATGTGGAGACTCCAAGGGTAACTCCAGGTAATAAATTTTATTTTGCATATTGAAAATAATGCTGAGTGGAGTTTTGTAGTCAGTTTTCTTTTTTTTAGAGGACTTGGGGGCAAACCTACCAAACCAGCTATGGTGGAGGGTCCACACAGACACGCTCTCAGGTGTGCGCAGCCAGAGAAGACCAGGCGTAGGCAGGAACGGGGGTCAGGTACGGAGGGCTGCAGTGATGGCCATTTATGGGAAATGCCTGTGAATCAAAATCAAGGCAGCTGCTTTGGAGTGGGCGGCCGGTCTCACCGAAGTGGGGCCCGGCTGCCAGCCCTAACCCGCAATGAGCCAGAGGCAGGCACCCCATACCCACTTCCCTTTTCCACCCTTTGACCTCCTCTACACCTTCCCTCCATCATAAAGGCAGCGAAAGGTCATAAAGGTGTTTGTATCTCACACTCTCACGGCTGCTTGGCCAGCTAGCAAGCAGGGGGCAGTGGTGATACCCGGACTCTGCTGCAAGTTAGAGGGGGACAGCATGGGCCCAAACGATGTGCACCTAGGTTCAGACCCAGCTCTACCAAGTTCCAGCCTACGTGATATCTGAAGCCCTCTCAGCCTCAGCTCACTGGCATGTGGAGGGACGGCACTGAAATACATAAAGCACCGTCCTCAGTCTTCGGCTTGTTTTCAACAAGGGTTGGCTCCCTGCTTCCTCCATCCGTCCACCATCCCTCCCCTTCCTATTTCCCCCTCCTCCCTTCTTGCTCTTTCTCGTTGTCCCACGCCTACCCCCATCTCCTCCCATCCTCCTGGTTCCCCTTCCTGTGCTCTTTCTTCCCCTCAGCCCTCCCTTATTTCCTCCCACTCCTTAAGCAGCCCCCATGCATGTCTCCAATTAGTCACTTAGTCACTGTCGCCAATTAGAGGTTCATCTGGGCCCCTGGTTCTCCAGTGTCTGGTCTTAATGATCCCTCTACACTCCTAAAAATTATTGAGCTTTTTGGTTATGTGGGTTATATCTATCAATATTTATCATATTAGAAATTAAAGCTGAGGAAAACAGTAAAACACAAGAATACAGAAGCACACATCCCACTGGTGATGCTTTACCCACATATCAGGAGCTTCTGGATAACTCCCCAGAGAGTGAGAGTCTTAAAGGACACACATATAGAGAAAGGGTGAGTATTATTACATATTTAAAATAATTTTGATCTTGGGGACCCCCCCCAAAAGGGTCTTAGGGTTGGAACTCTACTTTGAAACAGCTGATGGGCTAATGAGCCCTTCTTAAGCCCCACTGAGTGAGAATATACTAAAAACATACAGGAGCTTGGAAAAAAGGGGGATAAGGATGAGGGTCACTGAGGAGAGGGGCTGGAGGAGAGGCCCTCAGAGGAGGTTCCAAGGGGACACAGAGAGGCAGTGGGAAAGGCTAGAGACCAACTGGGGTCTTCGGACTGCTGAAAAGCTTTTCCAAGGAGGGCAGTTGGGATCCTCGGGGTAAGCCCAGCAGATAGGTTAGATTAACCAGGGTTGGAGTCAGGGCCCTATTGCTGTCTACTGGCTTCCTCTGAGCCCCGGAGAGCTGGCTGAGCAAGAATTTGTAGATCTGCATCTCCCAAATTTGCCTGCTGAGAAAACTGCTCGGGTCAACAGCAGGTTAAAAATACAGGTCCTGGGGGCACCTGGGTAGCTCAGTTGGTTAAGCGTCTGATGCTTGGTCGCAATCTTAGGGTCCTGGGATTGAGCATCACAGCAACGGGCTTCCTGCTCAGTGGGAAGTCTGCTTGTCTCCCCTTCTCTCTCTGCCCCTCCCCCAGCTTGTTCTCTCTTTCTCTCTCTTAAATCTTTTTTTTTTTTTTTTTTTTTTTTAAATAATACAGGGGCGCCTGGGTGGCTCAGTGGGTGAAAGCCTCTGCCTTTAGCTCAGGTCATGATCCCAGGGTCCTGGCATGGAGCCCCACATCGGGCTCTCAGCTCCGAGGGGCGCCTGTTTCCTCCCCTCTCTCTGCCTGCCTCTCTGCCTACTTGTGATCTCTGTCTGTCAAATAAATAAAATCTTTAAAAAAAAAAAAAAAGTTCCTAAAAATATACAGTTCCTGGAGATCTGGACTGGGCAGGACTGAGGTGGGCCAGGAACTCTGAGGAGGCAATGTGGGGGAAAGCACTCAGTTAATCTTTTTGTCCCTCTGGATCCTTTGCAAGAACATGAGGCTAAACCACTCGCCGTCTCACCTGTGATAGGAGAGAATCGGGCCACTCTTCAAGGCATACCACAGACCCATTGTTCTCTAGATGGGATGTGGCTGGAGCTAGGCTGGCCTTCGGGACTGGTCCGTCTCCATTGTGGGCTGACCCCCATTTCTGGTGACAAAAAAATGAAGTATGTTTGTGTCATTGTAGAAAGGATGCTGACCCTCTCATGAGGGGATGGGATCAGGAATGATGCTCTGTTCATGGCTCAAAAATAACTATGAAGAGCTAAAGGTAAGTATGGTGCGAGCATTTACACAAAGATTGTGACAACAGAAAACGCCCATCTTCGAACCTAAGCTTATCTAACCTATACACCACTGGTGAACACTTGGCCTTATTGTAAGCCAGGAACCACGAAGTACAGGTTAACCTATCTGTGCTCCCCAATAATAGGTGGCTTCACACCCCTCGGTCTGTAACCCAAGAAAAATGAAAACATGCCCACACAGAAACTTGAACACAAATGTGCACAGTAGCCCAAAGCGGAACATCTCAAATGTTCAACAACCAAACGGATGAACAAAGGGCAGGATATCAGGCAACGGGATATCATTTGGCAGTGAAAGGGGAATGAAGTCCTGGTTCATGCCACAACGTGGATGAACCTTGATAAAATTGTGCTGAGTGAAAAAAGCCAGACACAATGGACTACACAGTGTGTGATTCTGTTCACATGAAATAGTCGGAACAGGCAAATCCACAGAGACAGTAATTTGGTGGTTGCTTGGGGCTCAGACGGGATGAATGGGGAGGGACTGCCAATGGGTACAGGATTTCCTTTGAGGTCACAGAATTAGTGGTGATGGCTGCACATTTATCACAATAAAGCTGCTGAATCTATAGATATATGGAAAAATAGTAGGTACTCCGTAGGTATTTTCAGTATTTAAAAAAACAAAACCAAGAAACCAGATAGGTAAGGCTTACCAAAATGTTACATTTTGATTTTTGGTTAAAAGTGGGACAAGTGAGCATAGTAACCCTGGTTAGTTCATACCTATAATAAAAAGTTTCTCTGTAAAGAACTTGCCCTATGTACCAAGCACTGTGCAAAGCACCTTGCATACACCAAGTCACATAATCCTTGTAACAGCTGGATGGTGCAATTATTACCTCCATTTTTTAGGGAAATTGAAGCTAGAAGAGCTGGATAATTTGCTCATGGTTGCACAGCTCCTTAGTGGCAGAGCAAGGATTTTAACCAAATCTGACTGCAAACTGCTTCCTTGCATGGTGTGGATCAGAAATTCTGTGTAGAGGCTCATTTGTTCACTCGCTGTTTGGTTCACCTGATAATTATTAGGAGTTAGCTAATGGCCAGGCCAGAGGAATCACCACTCACCACCAAACTACTCCAAATCTAAGAAAAAACTGTGCTTGTTGCTAAAATATAACGTTATATTATATTTAATCAGGTAAAATCATGAGTCCCTGGCAAATAAAATATGACCACATAGAAAAACATTTAACTCCACAAGGAACCCATAAGATGTCAAAAAGAGTTCAAATGGGAGCTTGATGCACAGAGATTTATAATCCCTTCTGAGGAAATTCATTTGGCTCACTATTCACGAACCCCTGATGTGGCAGACCAGGCACCCACCAGTACCAATGGCCAGCTCAACCTTTGTAGGGAGAATCCCATTGTTGCCATACACTCTCCTTGCTGCCGTGGCCTCTTTGCTCGCAGACTCACAGAATCAGCACCAAGCTGGCTGGGTAAAGAAGCTCTCTGACATCCACAGAGCACAGAAGTTTGTCTGATTATTAAGAGTCTGCTCCTGATATTCACATGGAACATGAATATTTTGTCTGTACCCATTCAGAGGCATCCAGACAATAACTCTTTCCAAGATTTCCTTAGCACCAATCTTCCAGGCCTCGTCTTCTCAAGGCCCTGACCACCCAGCCAAACCATCAGCAACTGCCCAAGAACCAGTGTAGGTGGGTACTATGGCCATCTGTCCCTCCAGACATAGTGGACAGCTAAATACCTGGTTGGAATCCCTGTCCACTGGGAAGATTTTCCTTTACCAGTGTCTTCACAGTCCCCCCTGAGTGGGGCTGTGCTGCTCCCCCGTCCACTTGCATGTGGTACCACACATCATGTGGACCCATCTGTAATCCAGGCTTGAGTTTTTCTCACTCAGTCAACTGATCATAAGCAATCCCTTGGAGGCCATAGGCATGTAATGAGGGAGGAGGCAAAGCAGTAAGAATTGGTGTTGCAGGATTCTGAGCCACCTACTCATGCAATTTACTTGTACCTAATGGACCTGCCTGAGTTCAGTCTTGTATACAGAGAGATGCACAGATTGCTGCTGTGCGTGCCCAACCTTATGTCTAGGTAGGTCAGATGACATCCACACGATGAGAGCTCAAGCTACATGGTCACCTGATAGCACATGGTTAGCCATTCAGGCTCTACCAAGGTCGAGTAGCAAGTCAGAACGTGCTTTTTGAAAGGAGAATATGTGCAGAGAAGAACACAGATTTGCTTTGAAAACCTAGAGGTCTGTGCTGTAATTCTCCTATTGGCATTTGCTGGAGTGTCCATACAGGATCCCTCTTTGGCACATCACATATCATTGGATCTGGTGGAGCATAAGACCCAGGTGGTAGAGCAGCTTGTAGTACAGCCTAAATGTACTACAGAATCTTCTCTTGTTCCTCCCAATCCACCAGCCTGAGGATGGGTCAAATTCACACACTCATACATGGTGTATGTTGCCACCCAAATCCGAAAGGACCTCCCAAATGTTTTGCCGCCTCTTTCTGGTGTGAAACAAGGGGCATCAACTCCTCTTTCACCCTGAGTGGGATATTGCAACATAATCCAGACCACTGCACCCACAGAATTTTTACTGCTAATACCAATCCTGTGTCAGTCTGGGACCAATCAGGAGAAAGAAGCCATAGAGTATCATGAACAGAGAAAGGTTAATGTAAGAAATGCTAACTATAGGGGCACCTGGGTGGCTCAGTGGGTTAAGCCTCTGCCTTCAGCTCGGGCCCTGATCTCAGGGTCCTGGGATCGAGCCCCGCATCAGGCTCTCTGCTCCGTGGGGAGCCTGCTTCCCCCCCCTCTCTCTGCCTGCCGCTCTCCCTACTTGTGATCTCTCTCTCTCTCTCTCTCTGTCAAGTAAATAAAATCTATAAAAAAGAAAGAAAGAAAAAGAAATGCTAACTGTAACAGAGCCTTGGAATACTGAGGAATTTGCCAGTAAAAAATAAAGAGAATTCTAAGCAATATAGAAATGGTAGCTACTGGAAGCAGCCACTATGCTGGAGCTGGGTACTCAGCTCTTCCGGCTATAGTGATAATTAAACTCTGCGGTGGGGGGCTGTTACTTTGTTTCAGCACCAGACTGTAGGGTTCTTGAGAGCAGGGGCCACACACCTTGTTCTGCATTACATTCCAGCGCTAACAGGCTCTGAATAAATACCAGTGAATGAATGGATCCAGCCAGTACTGGCACTCCAGCAGCCTGCAGCAGTCTCCTGTTTCCTGCCGCATATGCCAGATCCCCAGGCAGGTATCTCCAGCACACACACCTGCGGCTTCCGCCCAGTCGGGAGATGATGATCCTCGCAATGGAGTCGTCAGTGGAGGGCTGTGGGTAGCCTTTGTCAACCTCTTCTTAAGAGAAGGCAAAAGTCTGGCTCAACTTCCCAGACTGTCCCCTCTGGGTTCTTAGTCCCCGGCCCCAGAGCTAAACAATAATCACCACCCCCCCCCCCCTCCAAAAAGAAGCCTCATTCAGTCTCTTATCGCCCTGTGAGCGCGTGCACACCACGGGGCCTGGCCTTTGGGGCTAAAACAGGTGCGGATGGGATTCCCATCAGAGGCTCCTCTCCCGACCCAGAAAAACAACTGCCGGGCCGAACCGGGGAGGGGTGTGGCGGCCCCTCCCTGGGCGGAGGCGCAGCCGGACCTAGAAAACCGGGTCGGGTCGGGCGGCGTGGGGAGAGGTCGGGCCATGGCGGACGCGTTGAGGGAGCGCACGGCGCAGCTGCTGACCGACTACCTGGAGTACTGTGCCCGCGGCCCTGGCACCCCCGCGCGGTCGCCGTCTACGCGCGAGGCCGCGGTGCTGCGCTCGGTGGCCGCCGACGTGCGGCAGCGTCACGAGCGCTTCTTGTCGGATTACCGCGGCTACCGCGGCAACCGCGTCGAGCTGGTGGCTCAGGTGGAGCGGGAGATACTCGCCCACCCCCAAGCACTAAGCTGGGGCCGTGTGGTGGCGCTCTTGACCTTCGCGGGAACGCTGCTGGAGCGCCCGCCGTCGGGGGCCTGCTCGAACTTGGGGCCGGACCAGGAACTGGAGCTGGGGGAGTGGGAGGCCAGCGTTCGCCAGGACTGCCGGCGCCTGGTGGACTTCCTCTGCCGTCGGCTCACAGGGCAGCACCGCGCCTGGCTGGAGGCGCACGGCGGCTGGGTGAGCGCGGGGGGACGCGGGGAGCGGGGTCGGGTGGGCAGCCGGGGGTGCGCTCGAATGGCCCGGCCGGGGGAGGAGGCTCGCGGGGTCAGCCGGGTGAGGCGTTCCTTTCAGCAAGACGAGGATTTCCAGTGTTAAGTCTGGTTTTCTCTCCCGGTGGTCAGACTGGCAGAAACCGCCCTCGCTAGACCGCTCTCTATTAACCCATTCTAAAGCAGCTGCGCACGACCCGGTTGGCACACTTTGGCCTTACCCTTGCCGGTCTTAGGGGTTTTAGGATGCGCCCACGTTAGGGCTGGACGCTTTGCTCACATAGAGATCCCCAAACTGGTAAAGTAAGCAGTGGGGTGGCCCTGGGCCAGGTGGGTTCTTTCTCCTCTGCCTGTTAAACAACGTTTGGAGAGACGGACCCCACCGCGCTACAGGGTGGAGAGCACCAGCGTAAATCCGTAACGAGTGAAAAGGCATCCCCCTGCCCAGCCCCCCACACTTCTTAGGAAGAGCGGAGGCCAGAAGTGTTGGAGAGTGTGCGCAGGCACCCAGTGGTGGTGTTGACTCAAGGTTCCTTAACTTCCAGACCTTTGCACCCAGCCCCTCACTGCGTGATAACCAGGTGCCTGGGCTTTCAGCTGTAGGTCGTTGATTTCTGCCCTGCAGCTCCTGAACCCTGTCAGTGATCAAGGGAAGCCCACCCACCCTTCAGTATGAGGAGAGCATGCCTCTTGGTTTCTTAGCTAGACTTCTGGTCTTTTCCTCCCTTCCCTGGACTTGAATCAAGGACTGCAGTGACCCAAGTTACAGAATGAATTTGGCCAAAGTATTGGAACCAGCTGTTAAGAAAAGAACTAAGGGAAGGGGGCGGCACCTGGGTGGCTCAATCGTTAGGTGTCTGCCTTAGGCTCCATTGGTGATCCCAGGGTTCTGGGATTGAATCCCACTATTGGCTCCCTACTCAGCAGGAAGCCTGCTTCTCCCTCTCTCTCTTTCCCCTTCCTTGTGTTCCCTCTCTTGCTGTCTCTCTGTCAAATAATAAATAAATAAAAATCTTTAAAAAACAAAACTAAGGAAGACAGGAAATTTAGCTCCTGTTGGCAGTTGGCATCCCCTGTTGTGAGGAAATTGGCCCGGTTTATGGAGGAGAAACTTGACCTTCTATGAACAGTTCAAGCTGTTAGCATTAACTCCTGCGTTCTTCTTGGCCTGTGTGCTGTTCTTCAATCATCCAGACCTGGGCACTCTTAAGAAAGGACCTGAGCCCTTTTTAAGGCATTTGGCCCCTAAGGGCCCTCTGTAGTTAGAGGAAATTGATTGGAAGGAGCTCATAGTTTTTATTCTCATTTTGACTCAAAAGCATTGCCTAAGGAATATTCCTTTAGCATCAAGAGGCCCAGATTCCCCCAGTTGAGTAAAGACATGGCCACACCTCTCCTAGCTACACTTAAATGCCACTATCTCAGGGCACCTTGGTGGCTCAGTGGGTTAAATGTCAGACTTGATTTTTGGCTTAGGTCCTGACCTCAGGGTTAGGAGATTGAGTCGCTCTGGCAGGTCATGGAGCCTGCTGAAGATTCTCTTTACACTCTGCACTCTTCTCTCTCTTCCCCTTCCCCTGCCTTTAAAAAAGCCACTATCCAGACTTCATTCCTTTCTTCTCCATTTTTCTGAATGGAGCCTTTTCTTTGTTTTGTTTTTAAATTTTGTTTATTTGACAGAGATCACAAGTAGACAAAGGGGCAGGTAGAGCGAGAGGAAGGGAAGCAGGCTCCCCCCTGAGCAGGGAGCCCGATGTGGGGCTCGATCCTAGGACCCTAGGATTGTGACCTGAGCCGAAGGCAGAGGCTTTAACCCACTGAGCCACCCAGGTGCCCCCTGAATGGAGCTGCTTGTATTTCTGTCTTCGGTGATCGTTTTCAACCTAGCGATTTACCAGTTTCCCAAATGGCACCTGCCCTTTGCTCAGGAAAGAATGTGATAAAGTAGTCTACGGTCCTCTTAGTTTGTTTTTTTTTTTCCTTTGAAATTTTAAAATTTTTATTAACTTAAAATTTGGTATAATTAACTTAGTGTTACTGATTTGGGGTGTACAATATAGTGATTGAAATGAGGGGCCTCTCAGTGGCTCAGTTGATTAAGCATCTGCTTTCAGCTCTGGTCATGATCCTGGTGTCTTGGGATAGACCCTTACCTCAGGCTCCCTGCCTGGCACGGAGTAGTCTGCTTCTCCCTCTGCCCCTCTCTCCTCCTATTCCCCCTCTTCCTCCTCCTCCCCGTGCCCTCCCCACCCCAGCTGGTGCTCAATCTCTGAAATAAGTAAAATTAAAAAAAAATAAGTAATAAAAATGCTTCATGGTTTTATTTTTTATTTGGCCTATCTTCCCACCCACCTCTCTTCCAGTTTTTTGTATTTATAAGCCCATTTCTATTATGTTTGTTCAGTTCTTTCATTTTTTAGATTCCACATATAAATCATGTTTTGTGTCTTTCTGACTGACTTCACTTAGCATAATGTCTTCTAGGTCCACCCATGTTGGTTCAGGTGGCAAGATCTCCATTTTTATGGCCAATATTCTATTGTATAAATACACATCTTATTTATCCATTAGCCTGTTGATGGATGCTTGAGTTGTGCCATAGTTGGGCTATTGTAAATACCACTGTAATGAGCACAGGGGTGCATATATCTTTTCAATTTAATGTTTTTGTTTTCTTCAGGTAAATACCCAGAAATGGAATTATTGGGTCATATGCCATTCCTGTTTGAATTTTTTTAAGCAACTGCCATACTGTTTTCTATAGTAGCTGCATGAGTTTACATTCCTGTAAACCATTCCCTTTTCTCCAAATCTTCAACACTTACTGTATTTTTGATACTAGACATTGACTGGTGTGAGGTGACCTCTCATTGTGGTCTAGATTTGCATTTCCCTGATGATGTGTGATGCTGAGCATCTTTTCATGGGTCCTTTGGCCATTTGTAGGTCTTCTTTGGAGAAAGGTCCATTCAGGTCTTCTGCCATTTTTTTTTTTAAAGGTTTTTATTTATTTATCAGAGACACAGCAAGAGAGGGAACACAAGCAGGGGGAGTGGGAAAAGAAGCAGTCTTCCTACTAAGCAGAGAGCCTGATGTGGGGCTCGATCCCAGAACCCTGGGATCATGACCTGAGCCGAAGGCAGATGCTTAACCTACAGAGCTACCAAGGCGCCCCTCCTCTGCCCATTTTTAATCAGATTATTTGGTGGGTGGGGGGGTTGGTGTCCTCTTAAAAACGGAGCAAATCAAAAGATGAGTATTCTTGCTGTGATAAAGTTGCGTCTCCTATGTCCTTCTTTGCCCTATGTTGGATTCCTTACAAATCCAAACTCAGTTTCCTAAGTACAGGTTGCTTCTATGCTTTAAATCCAGGAGTTTCCTTGCTGTTTAATCCCAAAGCACCAATGTATTTTATTGAGTTCAGCTGTGGGGCATTCTGAACCAGTCTAACTGCCTATCTCTCCCCCTTGCAGGATGGCTTTTGTCTCTTCTTCACACCTGTGCTGCTGTCTTCCTGGAAAAGACTGCTGGTCCAAGCTCTTCTGTCATGCTTTACGGCAGTGATCTTAATCTACTTCTGGAAAAGATTACCGTGAGTTCTGAAATTTTTAACGCATTTCTACCTGCCTAAAAACTGTGACCAGCCACCTGAATTTGAGATGTGAAAGAATAGAACAGAGTAAACCATCCTCTGAGACTGTTTTTTACCTGCCTTCATCTAAGGAGTCCTGTGGTGATAGTTCAGCGGGAGCTTTAACTCCTGGCGAGTACTCCGAGGTATTAAGACAAAGGTGAAAATGGCTCTTTGAGTGGGGAAGATGGATTCTAAAGGTTCATTGCTCTAAGAAATTGCAGTAGAAGCTACATTCTAGTAAGTAGCAAACATGGTGTTTTTTGCTACACTTGGATAAGAGTGAATGTGCATCTCTCGTCTATCCAGTTTCCTGTGCTGCTGCGGACTTATTTCTCAAGGCAGGCAGTCAGGGATGGAATGCCGAAAGCCCTCCCAAGTCCCAGTTTGACAAGGAATGTAACATTAAAAACTTTTATAAGGAATTCTTTCTAAATCCTTTGAAATCTAATTCCTAATTCTACCTTTCTAGATTTTACAAAGAACTTATTTTTTTGACTTCACTAAATTGTTAAATATCTTCAAATTTTTAATAAACTTATGTATCTTTTTTAAAAATTTGTTGGTTTTCCTTGGAATTTAATACGACTGTTCTTAGGAGTAACTTGAATTGATGAAAATTTCCTTTTTTACTTGTTTAAAAACAACACATACTATTCTTGATTTTAAACAATCAGTACACAAACTCATAAAAAGTCCTTTACTTCTACCTTCCATTTTGCAGTCAACCCATCACTGGCAAGGTGATAGAGAGGAAAACATTATACTCTAAGGCTCTCCACCTGAGGCCTGGGAATTTAGCAGACAGGTTAACAGCTGAAAAATATACAGATCTTGATGTTTTTACAGGAGACTATAGAAGATTGGAAACTTCAAAGAAATGTATAGATTCAGGGTTTATATACCATTTTAACAAAAAGTGATAAGTTGTAGAGTAGACAAAGTAGAGGGGTGAGACTGGTAGGGATAGTATATTCTGCCGAAAGGGACTGGGAAATAGATGGGGCAATCTAATGGAAAGTGAAGGTTATTTTAGTCCAGTTTGTTTGTATTGTTTTCTTGGTGTTGATTTCCATCTCCAGTGATAATTGTGCTCTCCTTACTGGAATAAGAGGGCACCTTTCTTGAGGCACCTGGCTGGGTCAGTTGGTGGAAAGTGTGACTCTTAATCTTGGGCTTGTGAGTTCGAACCCCATGCTAGGGATGGAGATTACTTTTAAATCTCTTTAAAAAGGGCAGGGGACTGCTTATACCAGCAAAATCCATAATAGCCAAAATATGGAAAGAGCCCAGATGTCAATTGACAGATGAATGAAGATGTGGTATATATACATGATGGAATACTACTTGGCTATCAAAAAGCATGAAATCTTGACATTTGCGATGAGGTGGATGGAACTAGAGAGTATTACACTAAGTGAAGTAAGTCAGGGAAAGACAAATATATGACTTAACTTATAATGTGGAATTCAAGAAGCAAAACAGATGACCCTGGGGGAAGGAAAAGTAAATGAAAATTTGAGAGGGAGGCAAACCATAAGAGACTCTTAATTATAGGAAACAAAATGGGCGTTGTTGGAAGGGAGGTGAGTGGGGACATTAGGAGGACACTGATAGAATGAGCACTGGGTGTTATATGCAACTGATGAATCAATGAAATACACCTCTGAAAATAAAAAGTGGAGGTGCCTGGGTGGCTGAGTCAGTTAAGCACCCGACTCTTGTTTCCGCTCAGGTTGTCCTCCCCAGGTTGTGAGATCAAGTCATACATTGGGCTCTGTGTTGGGTGTGGAGTCCATGTAAGATTTCTTTCCCGATCTCCTCCTGTGCCCCACCCCCACATGTGTTCCCATAACAAAACAAAACCAAAAAACCCTTTATCATAGGAAATTCATGCCCTGCTTTTAGGCAGAAAAGTGGAGGGCAAAGAGCCTTTCTTGTATGTGCTATTTCTCAGTTGCCTTAAGCTCAAAATAATATGCCACAGTTCCATATTTTGGAGTGACCTGTTCGAATCCACCTCAATGGTGAATGGTGTATGCCATTACTCTTCAGCCAGCTGGAATCCATACCCATCTGTCTTTTCTGAGCCCACCCAGACCCTCCAGGCTTCCCACAGCCAAGCAGTGGTGCTCTTTGAGTGGGTGCCCCCAGGGCTGCCAGCAGCCCCTAGAAAAGCACTGATGAGAATCACAATAAGCCACCCCAAAGCTACTTGAGCAATCTCTCCATGGTCAAGCTGTTGCTGATGCTATTAGAACAAGCCTGGGACCAAAAGGGTAAAAATAAGTGAAGATGGGGAAGGATGTGACCATTATAAATGATGGTACCACCATTCTGAAGCAAATGCACGCATTATGTCCTGTAGCCGGAATGCTGGCGGAGCTGTCCAGATAAAGAAGCAGGAGGTGGTACCACACTGGTGATCGTCGTTGCTGGTTCTCTTAGATTGGTGTGTGAAGCTTTTTCAGAAAGGGGTTCATCCAACTATTTCCAAGTCATTCCAGAAGGATTTGGAAAAGGGTATTGAAGTCTTAACTTGTCTTGACCCATGGTATTGAATGACAGAGAAACTGCTCAGTAATGCAGCCATTCATTGAACTCAAAGTCTTCGTGTTCAAGTCTGCTTTATCCAGTAAGTGGAAATGGAGTGAGGGAAGTGACGGACCCCACCAGGGCTGTTGGTGTAGATCTTAAAGATAACAAAGTAATTCAGAAACCTCAAGGGCATTATGCCAAGTGAAGAAAGTCAGATGGAGAAAGACAAATACTGATGATGTTTTTCCTGAGTGGAATCGAAAAAGAGTAAAGAATTTATTTTTTTTATTTTTATTTATTTATTTTTTAAGATTTTATTTATTCATTTGACAGACAGAGATCACAAGTAGGCAGAGAGGCAGGCAGAGAAAAAGGGAGACGCAGGCTCCCTACTGAGCAGAGAGCCCGATGTGGGGCTCGATCCCAGGACTCGGATCATGACCCGAGCCGAAGGCAGAGGCTTAATCCACTGAGCCACCCAGGCGCCCCTAAACTAAAGAATTTAAAAACCAACCTCATTGGTAGATTGGTATTTGCCAGGGTCAGGGAATGGGTGAATGCTTTTTTTTGTTGTTCTACTTTTATTACTTTTGGGGGAATAAAGCGATAGAAGTGTATTGAGTGAAGATACAGAAAAGAAGCTCTCAAGAGTGAGAGGGGTCCCAATAGGTTGCCAACGAGGGCCTTTAGGGTTGGTCTCTTCCAGAAAGTGAACCAGGGACCTGAAATCTCTTTAACATTTCTACCGATACCGCCACTGAGCAAGGACTAGTGATAACACCTTCGATGGCTTACTTCCTTTTGGGGTCTGGTTATTCTGTGTTGGTCACAGGTTTATCGTAAAAGGCGCCCCCCCCCCCCCCCCCCCCCCGCAGGGCTGGGGGGGCACTTCATTCCCTTATCTCTGGTTTTCCCGTGCCTCCACATTTTTAGAATTTGTCAGCCTGATCCCGTGGCTCCCTGTCTCTCCCTACCTAGCCCCACCTGGCCCTTCCTCATTCCTCCCACTTGGATATAGTAACCCTAACTGCCCTTAGAGAATAGTGGGATGATGACCGCTCTGGCTGCTCCCTGCTGAAATGGGGCGTCCGGCCGTGGCTGTTAGACTCTACCCAGGGGCTGGTCCAGGGGCTTGTGGTATGGCTCCAGTGAGTCCCGATGAGCCACAAACGGTACACGCATCAGCACATGCAAAAGGATGAACATAAAACAAGTATTAGGCGGGTGCCTGCGTGGCTCAGTGGGTTCAGCCTCTGCCTTCGGCTCAGGTCGTGATCTCAGGGTCCTGGGATCAAGCCCCATGTTGGACTCTGCTCAGTGGGGAGCCTATATCCCCCTCCCTCTCTGTCTGCTTCTCTGTGTGCTTGTGACCTACCTCTCTGTCAAATAAAATCTTAAAAAAAAAAAAAGTATTAGGTCCCAAATTACGATCCCATCCCTTAGCTAAGATCCCCAATTACCAGTTTTGTCAAATGGATCAGTGGATATCTCCATCTTATTTAATGGATCACAAAGGTCCCCTATTAATTGGGACACCTGGGAGGAGTTAACTGTAATGTTAAAACAACACATGTGAGGAAATTTTTCACACCCCAAAAGGTGTAGCAGTAGTAGACAGTCTCAAGAATTCCTTCTCTGACCTCATTTAATTTTTGGCAGAGTGCATCTGGTGCCTGGGAAGTAGCATTTAGAGTCCTGAGCGGCGTACTGTGTTGCCTGTTTCATATTGCAGTCCTAACGGAAGTCCTGGAAGTCCCATAGTGAGCTTTGAGGTTCTTTTCACCAGAAAGGCTGTTGGATGCTTGGTTAAAGCCTTTGTTTGCAATTAGAGGTCAGTCAAGGTGGCTTCTAGGATAAATGACTATCAGCTGAAATCAAGAAGCTCTTGCTGTTAGTTTGGGAAGTTTTTACTTAGTTTTGACCTTAAAGATAGTGAATACCGGGGCACCTGGGTTGCTCAGTGGGTAAGGCTGCCTTCTGCTTGGGTCATGATCCCAGGGTCCTGGAATCGAGCCCTGCATCGGGCTCTCTGCTCAGCAGGGAGCCTGCTTCCCCCCTCTCTCTGCCTGCCTCTCTGCCTACTATGTGATCTCTGTCTGTCAATTAAATAAATAAAATCTTAAAAAAAAAAACTTATTTAAAAAAAAAAGACAGTGAATACCAGTATTTGTCCTAAAAGTCCTTTTTATGAACCCCATTGAAGATAAACTCATTTCACAAAAGAATAAAGAAGTTATAAAAGACAAAAACTCAGAAATGGACATTGTTAATGATATGAGGTTCATTATGATACAACTGACAAATTATTTCTGGGTCACATAAACACTTCACAACGGCCAGAACATCGAGTGATGACCCTTAAACCAGAATGTAACTTGACAAACAAGCCTGATGAGTCAACAAGACTTTGTTCACGGTTTAAG